GAGCTGCTCCGAGAGCATGGGCCTCCATGCCTGACCTCCAACACAGGGCTCCTCCAGCCCATTGCATATTGTAGTCTCCTGGGGAGCCTTGGGCTCTAGCCTCAGTGACTGCAATCCTTGGTCAGATTATGTCCCCACACAGACCTTTAGAAGTCCCATCCCCCCAGGTTCTTCCAACATGCAGCCAGGGTTGAGAACTAGGGTACCTGGGTTGGGTTACGAGGGGCAGATGTTTGCCACTTAGACATGCGAATGAAACACACGCACATCAGGTCTGGAAGGAGCGTCCCTAAGAAGTGCTCTGGTCACCTCCATGCTGCAGTTGTCCCTGTTTCTAGATCTGTTTCTTTTGACTGCTTTTTCTCCTGCTTATGGGTCACATTCTCCTGCTTCTTGGACTGTCTAGTGACCTTGACTGGATGCTAGATATCATGCTGTTGAGCGTCTGCATTTGTGGATTTCTTTAAGAGTGTTGACTTCATTTTGGTTAACACTTAAATTGCTTGCAGATCAGCTTGATCCTTTCAATAATTATTTTTAAGCTGTGTTGGGATGAGAAGAGCCTTTATTCTAGGGCTGCATTAGCTGTACCACGTAGGTGTGACCCTTCTGGAATTTTTACTGATATCTCAGGTGGTCAGTGAAGTTGTTGCTATGCTTGGATGGAATTCATATTTCTCCAGCACTGAGTCTGCTCTGGTGACTAGTCAGCTTGCAGATATGTGGTATTCCTTCCCGGGTGAAGTTTCAGCCTACACACACAACACTAAGTTTTTAGCAATGGATTTCAGGGAACCCCTTTCAGATTTCTGGAGCTTTTTCTTGGTGTAGATTTCTCCTTTCCAATTTTCGGACTCCTCAACTCCAGCCATGTCAGTCTAACCTAACTCTCTGGCTCCTCAACTCGGCAAACTGATGTGCTCCTCTTGCTTCCCCTCTGTGAGCTGTGACCAGAACATGCATCCAGGCCAGCCTTCCAACCGCTGCCCTCATTTGGTTCCCTTTTCTCAAGGACCCCAGCCCTGTACTGCCTGTTTCTACATGGGTGGAAGCGGAAACTCCTGAGCACTATTTTAAATTTTGTATCTTTTTTATTTTCTGTAATTGCAAACTCCATGGGGCTATAAATGTTAATTTGTAAACAAGATCTGTAAGCTGACTAGTCACCAGAGCTAGCACGGTGCTTGAGACACATGAATTCCATCCATCCTAGGTGTGTTTAGGCTTTGAAAGTGTAGAAAACGTGCTTTTTTTTTTTTTTTTTACGATATGTCTATTACACTTTTGCAAAATGGAAATAATAAATCATGGAAGCTGTCTCAAAAACTAGAAGCTTAATGGAGAACAAAGAAAGCAAGGGAAAAGATGTGATTCCATTAATAGCTTAGGTAAAATAGGCATACAATTCATGAATGAACCTGTATTACTTAAAAATTAAAAAAAA